CTGAGAATTTAAACTCAATAAAATCCTGGGATCAGGGGTATGAGTATAACCAGCAAAAAGCATGTTCTGATGGTCTGGATGAATGTTTAACAGCTATGCATGGTAAAATCTTCCAATGCAGTAAACGTTTCAACGTTGTGAGAAAATTATCAAGTCTAAATAGACATAAGATGATATATACTGGGGAGAAAACTTTTGAGTGCAAAAAACATGGGAAAGCCTTAAATTTATGTTCAAACTTTGGAAAACATAAGACAAGTCATTTTGTGGAGAAGCAGTACAAATGTAAAGAATGTTGCAGAGTCTTTAAATCTAGCTCAAGCTTGTCTAAGCACAGGGCACTTCATACTGGAGAGAAAATCTATTGTTGTGAAAATGACGACAAGTGTCTTAGCCACAGCTCAAAATATTCTAACCATAAGACAATTTATAATGGAGAGAAAACCTACAAATGTGAAGAATGTGGCAAAGCCTTTAACCATTACTCAACCCTTTCTGTACATAAAAGAATTCATTCTGGAGAGAAACCCTACAAATGTGAAATATGTTGCAAAGCCTTTAGCCATTACTCAACACTTTCTGTCCATAGAAGAATTCATTCTGGGGAGAAACCATACAAATGTGATGAATGTGGAAAAGCCTTTAAGCAGTCCTCAAACCTTTCTGGACATAAAAGAATTCATTCTGGAGAGAAACCATACAAATGTGAAGAATGTACCAAATCTTTTAAGGATTACTCAACCCTTTCTGTACATAAAAGAATTCATTCTGGAGAGAAACCATACAAATGTCAACAATGTGGCAAAGCCTTTAACCATTCCTCAACCCTTTCTGTACATGAAAGAATTCATTCTGGGGAGAAACCATACAAATGTCAAAAATGTGGGAAATCCTTTAACCAGTACTCAAACCTTTCTGTACATGAAAGAATTCATTCTGGGGAGAAACCGTACAAATGTCAAGAATGTGGAAAAGCCTTTAAACAGTCCTCACACCTTTCTCGACATAAAAGATTTCATTCTGGAGAGAAACCATACAAATGTCAAGAATGTGGCAAATCCTTTAATGATAACTCAACCCTTTCTATACATAAAAGAATTCATTCTGGTGAGAAACCATACAAATGTGAAGAATGTCGCAAACTCTTTAGCAATTACTCGACCCTTTCTGTACATAAAAGAATTCATTCTGGAGAGAAGCCATACAAATGTGAAGAATGTCACAAAGACTTTAGCAGTTACTCAACCCTTTCTGTACATAAAAGAATTCATTCTGGGGAGAAACCATACAAATGTGAAAAATGTGGCAAATCCTTTAAGCAGTCCTCACACCTTTTTGGACATAACAGAATTCATTCTGGAGAGAAACCATACAAATGTCAAGAATGTGGCAAATCCTTTAAGGATTACTCAACCCTTTCTGTGCATAAAAGAATTCATTCTGGAGAGAAACCCTACAAATGTGAAGTATGTTGCAAAGCCTTTACCCATTACTCAACCCTTTCTGTACATAAAAGAATTCATTCTGGAGAGAAACCCTATAAATGTGAAGAATGTGGAAAAGCCTTTATCCATTACTCATCCCTTTCTGTACATGAAAGAATTCATTCTGGGGAGAAACCTTACAAATGTCAACAATGTGGAAAAACCTTTAACCACTGTTCAACGCTTTCTGTACATAAAAGAATTCATTCTGGAGAGAAAACTTACGAATGTCAACAATGTGGCAAATCTTTTAACCAGTACTCAAATCTTTCTACACATAAAAAAGTTCATTCTGGAGAGAACTAATAAATATGAATAGTGTGGCAAACCATCTAAATCAGGTTGGAACTGGCCTGTCCATAAAAAAAAAAAAATCGTACAATATAGACATCTCACAAATATGAAGAATGTAGTGGTACTTTTACTTGGTGTTCATAACTTAGCATAAAATAACTCACACTGGAGATAAATTCTACAAATGTGAACAGTGTGACAATGCACATAAACAAAAGGTCAAAACTTACTACATATAAGAAAATTCATATTGGAGAGAAATCTTAGAAATGTGAATAATATGACAAAGGTTTTTTTTTTTTTTTTTTAATTGTTGGGGATTGAGGGACAAGAAACCAGGTTACACTGGTTGCATTTGTTAGATAAAGTCCCTCTTATAATTGTGTCTTGTCCCCAAAACATGTGTCCAAAATATGGAACACTTTATGAATTTGCATGTCATTCTTGCTCGGGGGCTATGCTAATCTCTGTATCATTCCAATTTTGGTATATGTGCCACTGAAGCAAGCTCTATGGCAAAGGTTTTAACTGGTCCCTGGCCCTGAGTATACATAAGAGAAATCACGCCAGAGAAAAATCATCAGCATATGAAGGTGTGGCAAAGCTTTATGCCAGTAGTCACAATTTTCTGTACACAGGAGAATTCATGTTTAAGAGAAATGCTCTAAAGTGAAGAATGTGGAAGTGTTTAACTTCTGCTCAAACCACTCTATATATGACAAATATAAGACAGAGAAAACCCCTACAAATATGAAGACAGATTCATTCTATAACCAGTATTCACGCATTTTATTACATAACAATGCATAGAGAACTTCTATATATGTGAAGAATATGATGACGTCTTTAAATATTTTTCATGCTATTCTAATCATAATTAATATGGAAGAAATCATGTTTTAAAGTTGTGTTTATTCTGTTAGGTAGGGTGAAGGAGAGACAGAGTCAGATGACTCTTGATCCCTTGTCCACAGTAAGAGGAACAAAATTATCAGAGTGGGCTGCCAAGAAAGAAAAGCATTTCGAGAAGGCTTCCAAAAACTGAACTGATGTTTGCTATACAAAAATGAGTCTCAGAAGTGGAGAGGCCATATGTGTGGATATGGCCAAGGCCACCGGAAGGAATCTTTGCAGCATGCCTACAAGTGATATTAGCCTCAAGTAACCTATTTTCATTAACACAGTAAAATTGTCACCATTTGTACCACACTTTACAAACACACCGACAACTTCTGGAAATTGCCTTACAGGGATAGAAATGGGAGGACTCTCCATTCAGGAGGTTTTCCCCCTTTCATGGTGAAGTTTTCAGGAATATTTTACCCCCTATCACTTGATATAGATTTGGAAAATCAGCATAAAGGGGAAGAGTGTCACTAAACTCAGGGTCTTCTCCAATTGAGAAGGTAGATGTCTCTGGAGTGTACTGTCTTTTAATAAACTTTGCCCTTTTCCACACTTGTATCTATTTTTTATGCTCATTTGTTCCACTGTCTTGGTACCAGTAACCATTGTTTGGCACCTGGAACCAAAAAGTAGGGAACACATACCTGACATCTGTTCCCTATATGTGACATTTTAGTGCAAAACTCTGGGAGGAAAGTATACATTTTCAGCTAATGGAACAATAGACATTCTGAATTCACTCTGCCTGCTGCACATTACTTATTATGCAGCCCTCACATTGCTTTTCAGGTAATCTAGCTCCTTACCTACCCCTACTCCATTTCCTCTTTTTTGTTCTTCTTTTTTATCTTGCACATGCACATCATCCCCCAGTTGGGCCTTATATTCAGAAGCTTACAAAGGGGCCTCAGTCTCCACAAGCAGAACATTAAAGCAGATTTTTATGATCTTGGCAAGAAAATTTGGGATGAAGAGACAATGAGAGAAAGCTAGGCCAGCATCAGGCCCCAAGAGCAGAAGGAAGCTTTTGAAGTGATTGCTACCATTAGAGAAGAAGGTTGTCGGAACAGAGTTACTCTAGAGGGTCAGGCAAGAAGACACCAGGCCCGAGCCCTTCCTTCACTATGACTGGGTTCCTGGAGTAAGGAGTGCTCAGTAAGGGGACTCTGCTGGAACCATCCCCTCACTACTAGAGAGACGTACTGGAAGTGACATTGCCCTCTCCTGGAGACCCTATGAAATCCCTGAACCACCACTAACTCTCTGGAACTCTTTCAATCTGATGGACACACTCCAGCTCCAGAAGAAGGTGCAGTTTCAGATGCTTGGAAGGCTGATTGTTGGGTAGCTATCTCTCTCTGTCACAGTGATGTTTCTAACATTAGATCCACTCCTCTGCTCTCCCTGGATATTCAGGGCCTCTGTTTCCCTCTCCTATATCCCTTAAAAATGGAAGGTAAAATACAAACACACAGCGTACTCTAAAGTCCCTCTACTCCCTGGTTGGTGATACCTCTTTTATTCCTTTTAGTGTTTCCCAGCTGGCTTACCACTTTGTTTGATGAAGACTTTTTTTTTCTTTTTCTTTTTCTTTTTTTCTTGAGACAGAGCCTCAAGCTTTGTAAAGTGCCATGGCGTCACAGCATCACAACTCACAGCAACCTCCAACTCTTGGGCTTAGCTATTCTCATGCCTCAGCATCCCAAGTAGCTGGACCACAGGCGTCTGCCACAAGACCTGGCTATTTTGGGGTGCAGTTGTCATTGTTGGGCAGGCATGGGCGGGATTCGACCCTGCCAGCTCTGGTGTATGTGGCTGGCACACTAGTCATTTGAGCTACAGACACTGAGTCTTTTTGACAAAGTATTAATTTTAGCTTAGAGACCTAAATTCTTCAAAACCACAGGCCTCCTTCCCGGGCCTTTAACTGGAAAAGTCTTAACTGGGATCTTATTTTCATTCAAAATAGATAAAATCTTAAAGGAAGAAGGAACCCGAATATAGGAGAGAGATGTGAAGAAACTCATGAATATGAAGAAACATGGGTGGTAAGGAACACTGAAAGGAAAAAGAATGATTTTGTGTAGGACAGAACCTAATTTAACAATGTTTGTCCTAAAATAAGTCATGGTTTCAGAAGTAAAATTTCAGACAAGCATTGGGCTACAGAATGTCAAAAATGGTGTATGTAAGGGATAATATTTGCAAAGGTAAACTTATACAAAATTTGTCTGTGAACTGGTTGGCCTAACTGAAAAGGGAATCTTCAATGAAGTGCTTTCTTTTGAGACTTTGTTTAAAACCTCTTCAGATTGCTTGTGTATCTGTTCAAAGTAACAAACATTGATTATTCTGCACCAATCTGCTATAATAGCATTAAAATAAATCTGTCTTTCTGTATTTTCTTCTTCCTGCCTGAAACTGTGTTTGCTTAGTTATATGTGTTGAGATCAAGATTATTAAACTGTTATCACTACTCAAGGTCATCAGTTACTCCTTTGAAACTGAAGTAAAGAAAAACAGAAGCCAATTTTATCCTTTAAAACACCAGCCTCTATCTTACTGCCTGATGTTATCACTCCTTCATCTGTGTCTTCTTGGGTTTTTATTGCTAATATAAGATGGCAGAATGTGTATTCATAACTATTGCCACTCTTGAATAGCAACATATTTTTCTTTTTCCACTGTGGACGCTGGCCACACTGGACCATTTCTGGTTGTGGGACAAACTGAGGACCCCTAACCCTTCTTGCTGCCCTTTTTAAGTTGTGACTTTCTCAACCAAATAAGGTGTTTGAATTTGATTTTTCACCTGCTGCGTCACTGGTGACTCTTATAAACCTATGGCCTTGCTCTGCTCTTGACTTTTAGAAAGGTTTGATTAGCCACCTCTCCTCAATATGAAGCAAATGGCCTGTGTTAAACTTTTTCACAGACTCCCTGAAGAGATCTGAGAAGAGTCCCCAGATTCCTCTCAGGCTGAATCAATGAGCTGCTCTTTCACTGTGGTCACTAGTAAAACTCAGGTCAGACAGGAAGGTCATCTGAGCATGAGGACTTGGTGAGGCAAAGGCAAACAGAGTTACCCAGGCACAAGTAAGTATGAAACTCAGAAATTGAGGTTCAAAAGTGGGTGCATGCTTGGTAAGGGATGCCACCCGCCACTGGAATCTGACCTTGTGATTCTGGGTGAGAAAATTCAGGCCCCAGCCAACTCTGGCAACCTGAGATGGGCACAACATTGTCCACAGGTAATACTTGGTCCATGACTATGAAGCCTTTATGGACAGCAACAATTTGGTTCAATGGCTCTAGGGATGCCCAGTCCAATGGGTAGTGTACCTCCTCTTCTTTACCTGTGGAAAGCTGTGGGCCAAGGCTTTCTAATAAATACTGGGGCTACATATTTATTGCTTAATACTTCACGCTCCTCTCTGACTAACCAATCTGGCTCTGTAGCAGGAATGACAGGATAGCTGGAACATAAATTCTTTTTTTTTTAGACGTTTTATTTCCAAACAAAAAAAAAAAGTTGAAGATAGAAATGGAGCTTTACCAAATTGTAGGGAAGGAACGTGGGAAGACCAGGGATCAGAAAAGGACAAATAAGCTAGAAGGTGGCACTGGCATAGAAGTGAAAGAAGTCTCTTGAGAAAACATGCACAAAACGTGTTTTGAGTATAAACTTATTCTCTGTCCAAGGGGACAAGTGTAAGCAGAATAGTCACCCACCCACAAAGACCAAAAGGGCTATGAGTTCAGACAATGGAGATAGCAATAATGAGGTGGGGACTTTCTTTACTCTGGCTGGAAAAGTCTTTACCCTTCAGGCTAGACGCCTTGTATTGGTGAACTCTTAACTGGATGTTAAGGTAGAGAAGGAAACTCTGCTTCCAGCCCTGTAACAATCTCAAGCCCGCTTAGGGTACTGGATTACCTTCTTGGCTATGTGGTGGTCAAGGACATTTTTTTCTTGTTGTTGTAGAGACAGAGTCTTACTCTATTGCCCTCAGTAGAGTGCTGTGGCATCACACAGCTCACAGCATCCTCCAACTCCTGGGTTTAGGCAATTCTCTTACCTCAGTCTCTGGAGTAGCTGGGACTACAGGTGCCTGCCAGAACACCAGCTGTTATTTTGCTGCAGTTTGGCTGGGGCTAGGTTTGAACCCGCCACCCTTGGTAGATGGGGCCGGCGCCCTACCCACTGAGCCACAAGTACTGCCCAACTCTCATTTTCTTAATTTCTAAGATCTGCTCCACCATGTTGGTTCCCCTGGGGTAATTCCTGACCATCGGATATTATCGTAGGCAGTCCATTACACAGCCTACCCTCCTGGCCTACCACAGCAGGACCTATCTGGAGAGTTGACATT